CAACACCTAGTGCAGTAACATAATCGAGTCTGAGGTAATGTATAACTTTCCAATTTTGCCCATCTATCTCCAAGGTCCAGGGCATAACTGGAAATTGGTCCGGGTTCAGTGTCTCTTCCAAACACCCACTGTCTGTGCTTTAGGTCCAACCCTAGCAGTTAAGACAAGCTACTCCAACTATTTGGCAGCACATTAATGTCAGCATTGTCAAGATAAACTCCCCAAGTCTATCCAATGGTTGAGAACATTCTTAACTAACATGAGTCTCTTAAGTGTCCAGTTTAAGGGGTAATACACAAAAATGTATACCAATATAAACATGAAACAACAATGTACTTTATTCATTTATAGATAAATGTTTATGCACATCAATCTGATTGGAGCTAAGGGCATACACTGTCTAACATGTAGATCTCTTGTCATCCAAGTATCCTACCCAATCTATATCTGTATATGCCTCCAGCTTCACATGTTCATGATTAGCACATCACACACCTCGACCAAGATGATTCATTTAGACAAGGATCCTATCAATAGCTTCCCAATGAGTAGCCAATGAGGCATGCATGTACTGACTAACCACACTATAGGAAATATTTGGGTGTGCCATGTAGAGATATAACAATCGGCCCACAAATCTCTAATACCCCCATACATCCTTAACCAGTTCACCATCTAATGCACTAATTCTATGATTCTAATCAATGGGTGTATCTACAGATTTCACCCCAAGTTTTCCTATCTCCTACAACAAATCTAGAGAACATATTTCCATTGTACCAAGTCCAAACCTTGCAACTTCTATTCCCAGGAAGTATCTTAGTTCTCCCAAGTCCTTGATTTCAAACTCCTACAGTCTTACTACAAGGACTTCTTGAGCATATCTATCTCCTCCAGATCACTGCTTGTGACAATAATGTCGTCAACATATACTATCAAAATTGTCACTAGAGGCGCAGGTTGTCACCTCTCCAAATTACATGAAAGCCCCTTGGAGAGGCATAGGTTGTCGCCTCTCCAAATAGATTACATAAAAATTAAAGCATAAAATACATGAAGACTAATACAACATTATAGTGGAGCCTAGAACAAAGCTTCCTTATTTTCCCCTTATTTTTCCAATCAATCAGCAAAGGTATTTGTTGATCTCCCCACCCACTGTATTGTTAGACATATTCCTTGTCAGCCACTTGAATTTCTTTAATTCATTCTTGTAGAACCACAACATCCTCAGAATTCTTCAACCACTACACCACTACCCAATTCATTTGCATGATACTCTCCTTGTATGGCAGCTAGAAATTCTGCCTTAACAGAATACCCAAAGCCCAAAGGACCTAATTAGAGAAGAATAACCTCTCCAAACTCATTTCTCAATACACCTCCCATTCCAGAGGGCCCTGTGTTTCCTTGGCTACTCCCATCAAAAATCAACTTAATGTAGGATTTGGGTTCATTTTTAAAGCTTCTTTTCTTTGCCAAATTAATTTGTAATATTTCTTTTTAGTAAGGGGTTATTTGTTATTTTATATTTAGTATGGATTTACTTATAATTTTCAATTTTAAGTTTCTTACAAAGCCTAACATTATGTATTAGGGTTATGTTACATTTTGAGAAATTGAAATTTTCAAATTCTTCTCACCTTCAACTGTTCTCCTCTCTATACTACTACTCTTCTTGTTGTTTCTTCTTTTCTTCTAACAGGTGGTGCTGCATCAGTTAGGTATCAGAGCCTGAACCACACCTCCACTAGTTACCATTAATCTCCTTCATCTTCCCAACTCTTGGTTGAACCAGGTAGCAGCTCACCACCGCCCCTTCCCTTTTCCTTTTCTTCTTATTCTTCTCTTCTTTTTTTCTCTTCCCTCTAATCTACAATCGAACCTTACAACAATCACCACCTCACTCTCTTTCTTCTCTCCACTCTTTTTCTTCTTTGCGCTTCTCTTTTACTTCTTTCTTCCTTCCCCTTCTGCCCCAATTCTGTTCTCAGCAACAGAACATTAACTATAGCCGTCTCACCCCAATCTATTTTCCACTCTCGTTGTTCCCCTCTCTCTTCACTCTCTCTTCGTTTTTTCTTCTCGTTCTTCTTCCCTTTGTTTCTTTATTTTCTCTACTGCTGCAACCAAGCTAAAGACACCAGTCTGTAAGCAGCCTCTCTCTACCCTGTCTTTCAGTTCCACATCAGCCATCCAACCTCCTAAACCAGCCGCTAACTCAAATCAAAGAGCATAGCATAGGGGCAAATAACAAAAAGGTTTCTTGGGATTATAGTTCAGATTTAAATTGTTGTTTTCATTTCCTGCAACTGAAGCACTAAGCCTAAAAGGCCGTTTTGAACATTGCTACTCATCGATGACACACGAACTATTAGGAGGCCCGAGAAATTATTTGTCATAGCTGAATCCAAAAAAGCTTGAGGTCACTAGGGGTGGCAACGAGCCGAGCTTTTCACGAGTTGCTCGAGCTCGGCTCCTGAAAAGCTCAACTCGGCTCGATTTCAACCGAGCTCGAGCTCGAGCTCGAACCCAATCACTGGCTCAATTATGAAACGAGCCGAGCTCGAGCCTACTAGAGCTCGGCTCGTGAGGCTCGCGAGCCGGCTCAAATATTTATATTTGATATTTAATATATAATATATATAATGATATATATAATAAAATTATAGAAAATAATATATATATAATAAAAATATTATAATTCTTAATTTTTTAAATATCAAATAAAAAATATTTTTATATATATATTTTTATTTTTATAAAATATTATTTCTCAAAATCGAGCTCGAGCCGAGACGAGCTCGAGCTTATGAATTTTTTACTCAAGCTGAGCTCGAGCTCGAGCCTCGTACTATCTGGCTTGGCTCAGCTCAAATCCACCCCTAGAGGTCACCAACCCAAAGGATTGAGTATTCAGAAAACTCATCACAGTTGAATAGGAAGATAGTTTCAGGAACTTTGAAAAGTATCTCTCTTCCATTTGGGTTTTGGATTCACTCCTTTATCTGTTGGGTAAGCTGGCCATTGCTTTTAGGCCCTTAACAATCTTGTGAAGGCCGAAAATATATACGTAACCATCTTACCATCAGTACCCTGCATGTTTTTGTGTGCCCTCATCTCTTTCATTCAAACAAAAAAAGAAAAGGAAGGCCTCTTATTTCTATAGTTATTTTCTATATATATATATATATAGAAAGCTTTGACCACACAAGCTTGACCACTTTGGTAGCAAGTACTTTGGAAGTTAGGAGAATAGAATGAATAATGCGTAAAAATTGCAAAGTTGTTCCAAGGAAAAGCTTGACCACACAATATAGATTAATGATGGCAGAAGTGTGTATTAAAAAATGAAAGAAAAATAAAGTAGAAAATAGGTGCCCAAGAATTAGGTGGGCAAATCTAAAATGAGAAAAACTAATACAATTTAGTGACAGACTAGTAGCGAAAGGAAAGTAGAGTTTAAATGAAAAGACTAATAACATCAAAATGAGAAGACCCCAAAATTCAAAAAAATAAATAAGATATAATCCAATGCCCACAACTAACTTTCATAAAAAGAAAAGGAAAACACTTAAATAAAAACCAATCACAAAATTAACATTAAGTTTAGTATTGAAATTAATAAAAAGAGATAACATTAAAAGAGCAATCAGCATCAAGAGTTTTTTAACCATTACAATCAGGCATAAAAATAATAAAAGAGCCATATCTTGGTGTCAATCCTGGCTATTTGGGATCTTGGGAAGAGTAAGCTAGATAAGGACCTAACATTTAGCTTTTTTGCAGAAAGTGGGCACTCTCAGACTGAAACCTGCATTTCAATGCTTGTCATCCCAAGGTAAACCATTGCACCAAGCAATGACCCCCTAAGTATAGGATTGATATTAAACCTAATATATCAATGAGTAAAGTCATGAGGATCAAGTACTATATCCACAGGTGAAACCGTGAAAGCTAACCAAATTATATCTGGAAAGTAAATTATGTATTAATGTCATAAAAGGAATTATTCCATTGCATGATATCCATCAAGTATAGGCCTTTGTACACTAAAAAAATTGAAGAGAGAAAGAGAAACCAAAGCATATGTGAGATATAAATTAGTTACTCCCAGCAACACACAAAATCACAGAATCTGATAGTCTCAAAGTTCTTCAAGATAGCAGTCCTACAAATAGAGTGTATTTCAGCTGTCATTACTTTGCCTTCTTCTTGTACCCCTTCAGAAAATAGTGCATTTCATTCGTTTTAGAGTCCCCAGCATACCATAAAAAGCCGTAATCTCCATAATACTCTTCCCCTACGGCTAAACAATGATACTCAATCTGGCACCATATCTCTTATGTTTCCTGACAGGAGCAGATGCATTACTACAAAGGAAATAATTTCAGACTCTATTATAAGAGAGGAGCAATGTAGTAGGAAATGATTTACCATCCAACATTTTTTTTATTTGATCGCAAAAAGTCTTTCTCTTTCTCCAAAGACTTCCCTCAAGAAAGAGGCAGAAACTAAATGCATATATAATCTACACAAACAGGATAATGTACCATACAGAATTGGGGAAGACCAAAAGATATGTTTCATTCTACAAATATAAGAATTATCCCTAAATCCATTTGAAAATTGGAAGACACCAAAAGCAAAAGAAATAAATAAAAATGTTCCCCGCTTTATTAAATGATCTTCACATACACCGTTTGATGGTTGAAGCTTTGAACTGATTATATTAGTTCTTCCATCCCGCCTATTCCTTAAACTCCAAGAAATTGCAAATTAAATCAGTTGAGAAGGTACATTTCGCAATTCCCATCTAATCCACCTCCAAATCCTCATCTTCAACCCTAAAAATCTCTTACAGTTCTAGAAACGTAAAGCACATAAGATCTATAGCGAGAGAAAAAAGATGTTTCCAACAAGGCAAAAAACCCACGGAGAACAATCAAATAACAAGTATCAAACAAAGAAAAAAAAGGAGAGAAATCTTAAGACAATACCGGGTTGGCGGTTGGCCGCAGTCTCCGGCGTCTTCTGAGGAAGAGACTCTCAGAGGAAGCGTTCGGTTTAAGATAGAAGAATGTCTGCTGGAAGAGGAAGGTTGTCACTTGTCAGCGCGCCCAGTAGCGTGCAGGTTCGTATCGATTGAGACTAAACGATCCACTACGAAAACCCAAGGCCTAACCCGGTCAGCTGATTATCTCGTTTCAATATATTAGTCAAAACCCGTGCGATGCACGGTTTAGTAAGAAAAATTTGAAGAAAACAGCCAAGACATATATATATATATATTAAAACTGGTTCTCCCATACCTTTCCTTGCAGAAACCCCTTCCTAATTTTATATTTTTTTGAATATTTTATTTTTTAATCCATATAATTATCCTTTAAACCAATAAAGAAATCACATATGCTTAACTATTTCTAACAACCATAAAGAAACAGAGATTTGCTTTTCTAACATGGCACCACTTTCCCCCACTTCCTCCTAAATTCTCTAATTTCTATTTATCTCTTAAATTATCTCTAACTCTTATTTATCTCTTAAATTATCTCTAATTCTCTCCTAAACTATCTCTAATTCCTATTTATCCTCTCCCCCACTTTTTATCTATATCTATGTAAAGAAAGTTTCAATTAAAAAAATTTAGAATTATTCAAATGTTATAACGAAATTATATACTAAATTTAAAATATTTATTTAAAACACAAAAAATTAATAGATTTAATAATAATCATATTATTAATAATTCAATATTTTTACAAAATTCATCATGAAATTATGTAGTAGCAATATAAATTATAATTTTACGAATTATTCAATTTAAATGTTATTCAAATAATAAAAATTTAACATTAAAAAACAAAACATTATTTAAATATTTCAATAACTAAAAATCTTAAATAAAAACAATAAAAATAGCTACATAATATAAAAATATTTAACATTATGTAATAATAATAAAATAAATAAAATTCAAATGATGAAAATTTTTAAATATTTTATATATTATTTAAATATTTTAATAACAAAATATTTAACATGACAAAATTTTAAATAGTTAAAATAACGAAATTATGTAATAAATTTTAAAAAAATAAAAGTAGAAAAATAGAAATAATTAATATTTTAAGAATTTAAATAACAATATTATTAGAATATTTTGGAAATTTTAGGAAAATTTATTACATTTGATAGATTTTGGAAAACCATTGAAAATTTATATAATTTTCATTGCAAATTATTGAAAATTATTAAAGATAAATGACTATGGGAAATGGAAAACTATAATTTGAACAAATAATTACACAAATTTATTAAAAAATGTGTGTTCATATTTTCCCGTGCATCGCACGGGTCCCTGCTGGTTTCCAATTAAACATGCTCCATTCAAGATGGGTTATGTGTAGTTTATTTCATTATAATTCAAGTTGTGCTTTGGTGATAGTGTTTAACTTCCTATGCTCTAGATATATTTATATTATTTTTTGTAATTTAATGCTAAATCTTTTTGTATTTATAAACCATCCTTGTGTTTTGACCCCTCTAATTTTGAAAAAAAAAATGCAAACACCTCATCTCCCTTAGCTTTTTAGTAACAAAGACATTGAAATTTCAAATTTACCTTTCCACTAATTTGTTTTTCCTAACAACTTTAAAGAATAAATTTCTCTACTCTTCTTGGACAAAGAAAGTATTTTAGTAAATTTACATCTTAAGATGTTGGTTAAGGGTAAATTTGATATTTAAAGATATTAATACATTACATCAACATTTTCTATTTCAAATGCTAATAGATGGATGGTATTTACACCTTTTTTCAAAACAATATGGGAGGTTTTTGTTAATGTCAAAACATAGGGGAGGTTCATAAGATTGTTAAACTAATTAAACTATATTTTCTTACCAAAAAATTAGTTAAACTATATTTAAGATTAATAAATTTTTATTAATTTTTACTTCTATTAATCTTTATTAAGTTTAATTATAAAACTAATAATTGTTAGATAATTTTGTATTGGTTTTATATTAATCTTAAATAGATATTAGTTTTAATTTATCTTGTTACTTTTTATCAATAATAACATTTTCTAATAATTTATATTTTATTTAAGTACTTTAATAAATTATTTTTACTATGGTCGATTAATTTTTATTATTTTCAAATGAAATATAAATGGATTATAATTTTTACAATGTTTTAAACTTGTTATTGACTCAAACAATTAAACCATTTGAACCATCACCGCTTATTTCTAATTCTTGGTTTCCTAAAATCTGTTAAGTCAAAAACCGTTGATTTGGCCAAAACCTGTTTCTGCCTATGTGGTTGAACCATTAATTCTTTTGACCTAGTCATTAGGTCAGGGTTACAATATACAATGTAATGAAAACTTCTAAAGGACTTAACTTTGTGCTTAGTTATTTGATTGGGGTGATCTTTTTTTTAT